TAAATCTTTGTTGATCAGGTAAATCACTCTTTCTGCCGTACATCCATGAACGCATTTATTAATCTTTACCGTAGAAATATATTCGGCTACCATTCCTTAAGCGTAACTCTATAGAGTTTCTCCTCTTACTTTTGCGAGCTGAGATTGATCGTGTTGCTCTTCATGAGGCCCCTCTCTTTTGAGAATCTGAGGAGGCTCGTGGGCCGTAAGAAGGACCGCAATGAGCCTTCCTTCAAGCGTAGCGAGTCCTTCAAACGAATCTCCATTAGGAAGAGTTATCTGGACCGGGGTAAACGGCGGAATCGTATCCAGAAGAACCTGGAGACCGCCGTTAATCTCCCTTCGCAACCAGCGACAAACGAGAAGATTATCTCTCAAGAGATTAAAGAGCAGGAATCGAAGAAGAATCAAGAATGCTCCCTTAATCGTGATTTTATCACCTACGACGAATGGCTTCAAGATGTCCGCTAACACGATGATACACCTATAGAAAAAGAATAGAAAGCGATCTCGACCTACAATTTCGTAATTGCCGTGTTATTATGTGGAGTCAATTAGAGGTAACGTGTGCGTTTATCTCGACGGTTTCCGTGGATTCGCGGACGGTTGTCTAATCTTACGAATTATCATTAATTCTGTAAAGGACATCTCTCTATTGGAATCGATATATAATAGAAAGTATCTTAGATTGACAATATTCTCCCTCCTAGGTAAACGTTAATATTAATGTACAAACAACTCGTTGTATTTTCTTTATGAATGAGACCGTTTGAACTATCTGAAAAGTGTCAGCTTTAGAATTCTGTTTTAAAAGTGAATTTGTGTGGCATATCTGGAATACGCGCAACGCGTAATGAATGCATACCTTCTTTGACACTTTTGGTCGAGTATCCCGTTTCACGAGAGATAGAGAGAGAGAGAGAGAGAGAGAGAGAGAGAGAGAGAGAGAGAGAGAGAGAGAGAGAGAGAGAGAGAGAGAGAGAGAGAGAGAGAGAGAGAGAGAGAGAGAGAGAGAGAGAGAGAGAGAGAGAGAGAGAGAGAGAGAGAGAGAGAGAGAGAGAGAGAGAGAGAGAGAGAGAGAGAGAGAGAGAGAGAGAGAGAGAGAGAGAGAGAGAGAGAGAGAGAGAGAGAGAGAGAGAGAGAGAGAGAGAGAGAGAGAGAGAGAGAGAGAGAGAGAGAGAGAGAGAGAGAGAGAGAGAGAGAGAGAGAGAGAGAGAGAGAGAGAGAGAGAGAGAGAGAGAGAGAGAGAGAGAGAGAGAGAGAGAGAGAGAGAGAGAGAGAGAGAGAGAGAGAGAGAGAGAGAGAGAGAGAGAGAGAGAGAGAGAGAGAGAGAGAGAGAGAGAGAGAGAGAGAGAGAGAGAGAGAGAGAGAGAGAGAGAGAGAGAGAGAGAGAGAGAGAGAGAGAGAGAGAGAGAGAGAGAGAGAGAGAGAGAGAGAGAGAGAGAGAGAGAGAGAGAGAGAGAGAGAGAGAGAGAGAGAGAGAGGGATGGAAGGGAAGACAGAGTTGATTAGCTCCAATTCTATCACACGCGACGCAGGTGCAATTGCAAGAGAGCGCAGTATCATGCAGCAGCACACCTCCTGTTTCACGAATCCGTGTGTAAGATCAAGGTCGACAGTTTCATGGGTAAATGTCCTCGAGTGTCCTTGAGTCGGTGCGCAACGCGCATCATAGACGATTCCTCGCGCTCTTATCGACCATTATAATGTCCCTCCTCCGCACAACCTCCTGGCAATGTACCTATATACGGTGCCGCACCGCGTTCAGGACCACCGGTATATCAAATATCTGTGGTATGTAAGATTACAATCGTAAGGATTTGCAATGCTTAGAACGATGGTTTCCTCGAGAGTTATTTGAGAGGAGTATTACGGCCTGTGTAAAATTCCGTAATTATTATTATATGGGATGTCCAATGAGACTTGTGGCCTGAATGATAAATTTCTTGATGAATTTGGAGTCGATTTTTCCTTGGCAAAAATGAAGCGCCAGTAGTCTTATAGAATTATCAGTGATTAAAAAAAATCTTGCAAAATTAGTTTTAAAGAAATAGACAGATAGTAAAATCATATGTTTAATTTAAAATCGACATTTTTTAAATAGAATTTTCTTTAAGGTTTAGTTACAAAGATATATAATGTCAAAAATTGGAGAATTGTATAATAAATAATTTTCTCTTTTTTTAATATTCTGTAATTGAAAAAAATGGGCTCAGGATTTATTATATAATTGATATAATTACTTAGAATTATTATAATTAAAATGAGTCGTGAAACACTTTGTATATCTCGAAAGATATCTCTATCAATAATTAATTACATTATTTATTTGATTAATTTATCATTAATGTCTCTTTATTTAATAGAGACTCTATTGTGAAAAATATGAAATATGTAATTCTAGAAGATAACACAAGAAAATTTGAAAATAGGACATCTATTCCAGGTTTAAAAAAACCTGGAATTTTTAAAGAATTTTTTCTTTAAAGATAGAAAAATTTGAAAAGCTAGAAAATTCTTATTTTATTGGAACTCTCAGGAAATTTTTTTAAAAACTATTTGTTTGATAATTCTGTCTTTACTGCAAGTAAAGTCTTCATACATATATGCCGATCAATCAAGTTAGCAAGCAGTAACAATACAACGGCACACATCCGCATATAACTCGTTTTGCAGAGTACACAGTTTTTTCTACATTACTATATTCTATACACTAACATTCAAAACTTAAGTGCATCTTCATTTTTCTTTCATGATCATATTAGTAGAGAAAACATTAAAAACATACGATAAATGAAGTTATTTCAAAACTGCATCTAAAAATTCTCTAATTTTACTTGAAATTATGAACAAAAATACTTGAAAAATTAGGGAAGTTTTAAGACATTTTTTAATAAGATTTGGATAGATATTTTGGTAACAAGGTACAATGGAAGCAGAGATTTTTACGAATATTAGAAAGAGAAATCAATAATAATAACAATTATTTATTAATGTGTGTACGTTATATTGCGTGGCTTTCAATACCGCGTGCGGAACAATATCGCGAATGGACCGAAACTCCAGTTGATCCGCATAATCTTACCTTAAGAATCTCTCTCTTAGAAGGAGTTGGCACCAACCGGAGTCGCGAGAGATCTCGTGGGGCTCGGGCGGCGCGGCGAAGGGTGTCAAGCGAGAGATGAAACGAAGGAGAGTGGGATGCTGCGAGCGACGAAGGCAGGCGAAAGTCGACGGACGGCATGCCATCACCACTCTTATATTCTCCTTCTCCCTTCTTTGCTGAGCAAGTTCCTGAGCGTTCAGTCTTCTCACTTACTCCGTCTAGCAACTTTTACACGCGCAAGCCAGCTTCCCACCCGTACGTTTCCCTCTCTCTCTCTCTCTCTCCCTTCCTGCGCCCACGTACATGAGAGAAAGAGAGAGAGTTGCCAAGAGCTGCGGAGAACTCGCAAATGCCAGTGATTCGACACGACTTGAAGTATGCGTCTCGACGGCGAGACCAGCGAGCGTCGTCGCGCGAATTCGAACGCGCGGACGCGCGCCATCGTGCTATCTTAAAATCTGCTTAGATTAACTCGCGCGTCTGTTATCGCGAATCTGACGGCGAAATAATTTTATTTTTCAAAGCAATTCACTCGCGCATGGGTGCAACATGCGAATAAATTATTCCGCGCGCTTGGCGAGGCGGGTGGAAAGCTTTTACTCGCCGATTAAGAACGAGAAAATATCCTAGACAGAGATATCAGAGGTAGAAAAGAATGTGTGCATGTGTCCTAAACAGTGATGCGATAGTGATAGTGATAGGTAAAGATTTTTGCATTAAGCGAAAACACGGAATTTGCTGCGTTTCCGCAGAAAGTTATAATCGTTTCGATGAATACTCGCAAGAATTTTGCAGATGTTTGATTGTATCGAAGTATATTTTATGAACAACGAATCGCACGTTTGAAGCAGTGAAAAGTGGTCGTATTTTCTTAGGACATATTGTCAAATATAGATTCAACTTATCTAACTTTACTTCATATTAAGTGACAAAAACTTAATTTGAATAGATCTTTTATTTATTGATCAAGCATCGAGATATAAATTGGATTTTTAATTAAAAATTCTCTTATGTGCGGAAGGCATTCCGCGCAGAGGGAGCGCGTTCGTATCGTCGAGAGAGGTTGCGTGGAGAATGGCGGAGGAGAAGAGAATAGGAGTGAAACAAACAACATAATTGTTCGAGGGCAGAGAAAGTATCTGAGTTTCAAGGTACATGGTTTGGTTAAACCATCGAGCGAAATATCCAAGATAAAGCAGGATCAATAAGCTATGGACCAATCATCGACAAAAGTAAAACCATAATTTAGAAGAAACCTATACAATTCATCGGTCAATGACTATTATGCCAATATTAAATGGAGATCCAAATATAAATAAATATATCTCTATAACGAAAGTATATGGTGTGAAAGTAGAGCAAACTTTGATTCGAGAAAGCTGTTTAAATGCAATGATAAAAATAGTGATAAATAAACCAACGTTAAACTTATCTTGCTTGAAAATAAAACTCGGTCATCGATTTTCTCGATATCGGATATGTTGGCTCTGAAGATGCTCGTCCAATCCGCACCAAATTTCTTCATGTAGAATGATTATCCCGGTCGAGCCGAGGGCACGCAGGAAGAAAAGGGAAGAGGAGGACAATGAGAGAGGGAAAACGGCAGCGGCGTCGAAAAAGGAAAGCCACGCTGATCATTCACGACTTGAAAATCTCGGTTTTGCACTTTAGCGAGTCTTAGCATAACGCAGAGAAAGGACGAACAAGGAAAGAGAGAAAGAGGGAGAAAAGGCGAATCGAAGGATACGAATAGCAAAAGGGCAAAGAGGAACGAGAAACAAAGAGAAAAGGAACCAAGAAAGAAACATAGTAATCGAGAGAGAGAGAAAGAAATCCGTAAATCCACTCATTTTCACAAATTTTCATTTTTATAGATCCAAAGCTAGACTTGAAAATCTCGGTTTTGCACTTTAGCGAGTCTTAGCATAACGCAGAGAAAGGACGAACAAGGAAAGAGAGAAAGAGGGAGAAAAGGCGAATCGAAGGATACGAATAGCAAAAGGGCAAAGAGGAACGGGAAACAAAGAGAAAAGGAACCAAGAAAGAAACATAGTAATCGAGAGAGAGAGAGAAAGAAATCCGTAAATACACTCATTTTCACAAATTTTCATTTTTATAGATCCAAAGCTATCTTTAAATCTTTGTTGATCAGGTAAATCACTCTTTCTGCCGTACATCCATGAACGCATTTATTAATCTTTACCGTAGAAATATATTCGGCTACCATTCCTTAAGCGTAACTCTATAGAGTTTCTCCTCTTACTTTTGCGAGCTGAGATTGATCGTGTTGCTCTTCATGAGGCCCCTCTCTTTTGAGAATCTGAGGAGGCTCGTGGGCCGTAAGAAGGACCGCAATGAGCCTTCCTTCAAGCGTAGCGAGTCCTTCAAACGAATCTCCATTAGGAAGAGTTATCTGGACCGGGGTAAACGGCGGAATCGTATCCAGAAGAACCTGGAGACCGCCGTTAATCTCCCTTCGCAACCAGCGACAAACGAGAAGATTATCTCTCAAGAGATTAAAGAGCAGGAATCGAAGAAGAATCAAGAATGCTCCCTTAATCGTGATTTTATCACCTACGACGAATGGCTTCAAGATGTCCGCT